CAGCGGATCGTGGTGGACCTAAGGCCCTTGCTTTTCCTCTGGCTCCCCACATGCTACTTGTAGCTTTTTATGCTGCTTGTAGCAATTGTGGTCAGAAAATCGACCCTCTAAGGGCATGAGCCTTTCCATTTGTACTCTGCATTTCATGGGGTGTTGGAGGGCCTGTGATCTACTGTGAGAATCTCTTTTGGGTGGGGAAACTTCAGCTGACTGCCTGTGGTGCCATTTGCATTACGTATATCAGCAGGAAATCTGGGTTTGGCAGCCACCCTGAGCCCTTTCCACCCCAGGTCCCTTTGCTGCCAGCATTTGGGGAAGGTGCTTGTTATTCATTGCTTCTCTACGAGCACTGTCGTGAGAAGCAGTACTCTGCTGCAGTCCCTGAAGGATCCCAGCTGTCTCAGGGCTTGTGGAGAGTAGTGGTCCCCAGGGCATCCTATTGTGAGACAGACTAGATACAGGGACCAGCCTATGAGTTGTGAGATCTCTGCAAGAAATGTTAGTTCCCCACTTGCCGTCACTTTGGGTCTGATCTCAGAGGAGCAGGCTGCCACACAGTTCACACAACCCAGAGAATATTAGATTTTTTTCTCCATCTGAATCTTGGTCTCCCAGAACCATCTCTTGCACTGGGGGGAAAAAGTAAAGGAGATGATGGGATATGTTGACAAAGCAGGTGGGATTAACATTAATGGGAATTGTGTATCTGAGTCCCTGGGTTCCCTTGACTGCTCCATGTGAAAGATTTTGGCTCTGTGTTTTCATTGGGTATGTCAGTTCAAAACTTGCTTTTCACTGCAGGAAAACATGCAGCCCCAAGCTGGAGCCATTGTCTCCTGTCCAAACCACACCAGCACTCATGGTGAGCTCTTGGTTAGTGTTTGCTGCTGTGGTATGTGGGGAATGGACTGTCTCTCACCCCCAAGATCAAGGCGTAGAATCACTGCAGTATCTTTAATGGGCTAGCAGAAGCAGGCAAAGGAAAGGGCCTCAGTAAAAACACCAGTGCCCAAGTTTGGGTGCCGCACAACTGTGCCATCATGGTACCCAGGTGATCTGCCTAAGCTCTTAACCACTTGTATGCCCTGCTGGCTAGTGGCTGAATGGATGGAGAGTTCTCAGTATTCCTGGGTGGATCTTGAATTTTTAAAAGTGGGGTGCAAATGGTGAAGGACATCATCCTTTATAAAACCACCTATTCTTCTCCAGTTCAACATCAACGAGAAGTGTTACTAATAGGCTAGGGGCCTAGGCTGTCTGATTCAATTTAAGATTGAAGCAAAAATGAATAGAACTCCATTGGAATGAGTTAAAAACCAATCTGCAGGGCTTCCTTTCCAGGAGCAATGAAGAGGCAGCAGAAGGGCAGAACAAAGGCTGGCTGGACAGGTGGAACATGAAGCCCGTTAAAAAGAAGACAGGGTCGTTATCTCCTGTGGAACAATTGGCTTAGAAGGGGCCAGGTAGATGACAGTGAGCCAGGAAGTCAGTGGACTTCTTCAGTGCTGCTGGTGTGCAGAGCAGGAGTCAAAAACAGGGTGCGATTGCACCAATGCTGCTCCTGACCCCCAGATCCACCCCTGTGTGTACCCAAACAAAGCTGAAGTTATCACTGAAGAAACACTGTTTATTTCTTATGTTCATTGCTGACAAGAGTCATTTTGTAAATCTGTCCTGCAAGGTCCATTAAACCGGCTTTGAATTGGTCCGACTAATTACACCAGCTCAGCTGTTGTTTTAAATTACACAGCCCACCACTTGCCTGGTGCTTTGATTGTGTCTCATGGATGTTTTTTATCGTGGTCCACTCTGTGAACTCGAACCTCTCCTCCTGCTGCCCATATCCCCTTTCATTATCGCACTGACTCGGGTCGTTCCAGTTCTGCCAGGAGCTACGTCAGATGTGGCACTTGCTTGAGTCGGTGCGATCGGCAGTGCTATCATCAGAGAAAAAAATGAATGTAATCTAGCAGGAGAGGGGAATACGCCTTTGAGTGCTAGCTCTATGAGTCTGAGAAACCTTTATAGAAATTCCCTCTGTTCTTTTCCAACGCATGTGGAATTGCACTGGCAAAGTCCCTTTTCCCTTTTTTCATCATGCTTAGATGTATAAAAGATGTCTTGGGGTTCTTTCTTCATGCCTGCGTCATCGGTGAGGTTGATATCAGAAGGGCTGGAAATACTGATAGATTCCCCTCTGCCTCCCCACTCACTCTCTTTCATGAACTTTAAAAGAAATGAAGCCATCCCGATTTCCCAGCGGCCCTTATGTAACTTTCAGCACAGAACTGAACACGCAGGAAGCAGAATGCTGAGCAGGCTTCAGGCAACCTTCGCAGCGCTGTTACCCAGGCAGGTGCTGCAGTGTCTGCTACATTTCTTCCCAGTCTTTTAGCACTTTGTCATTTTGGAGTTGTTTTCAGGGTGAATTCAGGTGCTGACGAGAGCAAGCCTTATAATGCCCTGAATCAAGGCAAACACCGGTACGGTTCCACCATCGTTTCCATTCTGTTTGGGTGTCTCCTGAGCAGCTCCTTGCTTTACTGTGCAGTGACTTGTCTTTATTGCAAACCTATATAAACAACTGAGGAGGAGAGGGAATCTCCCCTTCTGGCCAAAGTCAAAATTTGACTCTAGGTCTATAGAAGCAGAAGACCAAGAAAGGCCACCTGTCTGATGTCCTGCTCAGTTTTCAATGTTGTACTGCTGTTGCCCAGCTGCGGTCTCAGCATGGGCATAAAATGGGGTGAGCCTGTGTCTAGAGCCTGGTTGATCTCTGTACTAGGGTTTATCAGCAGGCTCGCTTGTCCCGCGGGGCAAACAACATTGCTGCACCTTTATCTGGCCCAGAATGAGTTTCCAGGATGCAATCTTATTAGAAGCCCACATACTAGGAGAGGTTAGGAAAAGCTGTGACAGGCTGTTCCACGGAGGAAGCCCAGCAGAAGGTCCCACTGGGCAGCAGTGGCTTGTTCAGAAGGTGCCATTGTGAGCGCAGGGCTGAGAGCTGGCCATGGACTCCTCCACACGTTAAAGTTGCTCCAGTAAATCCCGTGGGCACCCTTGGGGTGAGAAGTCCTTTCCTTTGCAGGATGCGTTAGGGGGTGGAAGTTAGCTCGCTGCCTGGCCATTCGCAGAACTCCCTGTCACATCTTAGTGATTTTTTTTCTACTGAAAAGGAGATTCCCTTGTCTAAGCTAGACAAGCATACAGAAAAAAGCACAAGCTGTGTGCTGCTCAAGCCTGTAATTGCATTCGGTTTAAGTCTTTTGGGCCAGAGTTCAAAACTGAACTGTCAGAATCTATTTTCTGTTGGCCTGAGTGTCAGGTGTAGAAGCTAACCAGGGGGAGCCCTTGCTTCTTGACCAAGGATCCCTTTCTTCCAAACCTAAAGGTTTATATTTACATGCCTCCAGAAGCACCTAGGGGAAATGCAGGAACAGCTTGCTCTGTCATTTGCAATTAATTGTGACTCATTTGAAAACCCTATTTTAGTTCCTTTCTCGTCTTTCCAGTACCTACCTTGTAGCACTCAAATGGCTCAGGTCCCAGGAATGGTGTTACAATGATGGTACATGGTGATAGGTGGGAGGAGTAACAAACTGCTGATGTGCCAGAAGCCAGTAAAATAAAGCACATACAGACTTCTTCGCACTCATCCAAGCCCTGCCTCTTTTGATTTGAATATTGCATGTAACCATCTCTCCTGTTGTGCGTACCACACTGCAGGCATTCTTGTTAGGTATCAGGCTCATCAGTTAGCCCCCTGACTCCGCTGGAAGGGCTGACTCGCGCCCAGTCTACACTACAGAGCTGAACTGGCAGAGCTTAAGTTCCCTCTGCAAAGCTATGAGGGCATCTACACAGAGGGCAGCAGAGCCCCTTTCTTCTGCCAGCAGACTGCCACCCCCTCTCCAGCCAGGGGCCGGCTTCTGCCAGAGGCCGGCAGCGAGCAGAAGGCATCTGCAGACACACATGCACCTTCTGTCAGGTGCCGCAGTGTCTTCAGCAGCTGTTGCCTTCCCAGGATGCCCTTTGTGGTCGGCTGGCATGATGGAGCTGCTAGGAGCGCCCAGAGGTGGCACAGGGGTGTTGGTTGTAGCCGTGTTGGTCTAAACACATAGGCAGACAAGGTTCTTTGGGTAAATGTGATATCTTTTATTAGATCAACTAAATAGTTCAAAAAATTGTTCTTTGCAAACTTTCAGGCACAAACACCCTTCCTGAGGCAGAGGGAGAGTCAGGCAGAGGTGACAGGAACCTCTGGGGACAGTCAGGGATGGTAGAGAGTGGCTCGGTTTTATGGTCTCTGAAATGACCAGCCCTGAAGTGTGGTTGCAGTGCTTTGATGTTGAGTATGCCAGTTAGATGTATTTAAAGGTCCTTAAACTACCTTCCAACACTGTTGCTACAGAAGTTTCAAAGCATTTCGCTTGAGACCCCCAGCGTACAATCAAAGAGAAGAAACTGAAGTGTTACAGAACAGCGCCACATATCATCACACGTGTTAACTTTTAAAAGGGCAGTAGATCTCTCTTGGCTTTTTAAAGTTTAGGATTTTAGTTCACAGAGGCTCCCAACTTCTTACCTTGGTTTCTGTGCCAATTGATTTATGCAGGGTGGTTGAGTGACTTGCTCCAAACGTTTAGAAAGATTGGCACTTCCATTCAGGTGTGCTTCCAAGTACTCTTTACTGTCCCCGAGATTTTCCCCTGTTGTTTCAGCTGAGCCTTGCAGACTTCACAAAGGACAACACAGTGCAGCCTTCATTCCCTTTCTGGGAGTGTAGGTCTGAGCACTGTGCTTTGCTCTTCCCAAACTACCCTTGGGAAGCATTGGAGCTCCCTTGTGGACTAATGTGCTCACAAGACATGGGGTGTTCAGAGTTGGCTGAAACGATGTAATTTTTGGGCACTCTTGCTGTTTTTTGTTCTGTTCCAGGAGTTTCTTTCAACAGCGTTTACACCCAGATTTGGAGAGTCCTTCTTCACCTGGCTGCTGACCCTTATCCGGATGTCTCAGACCTGGCTATGAAAGTGCTCAACAGTATTGCTTACAAGGTATGGCTTCCTGCCTTCCTACATGTATCTGAGCTCTTGCAGTTGATTTTTTCATGCTCGTGCAGAGCGTGGGTAAATTGAATTGAATAGGCCAAGTTGGAAGGACAGTGCTATTGGAGAAGGAACTCTGACATCCCAAGATAAAACCACTTTGTGGCGGTCCTGACCAGGTAATAATGTGACTGTATGGGGGCGGGCCAGGGATAATGTCATGGCGTAAATTAGGTTAATCCCTTAAGAATTGCAAGTCTACTTGTCTCAATCCGTCCCTGAGAGGAACCTTACAGATACTTCATTAAACTATCCCTTTGCAAACTGATTTAGATCATGCAAGTGGGACTGGCCTGCAGACTGAAGCCGCAACGGCTCTCCAATCCAGGTGAACTAGTACATGTGAGTCAGCATGCAGACCCCCTCCCACTTCTCCCGTCTTCTATACAAGCCTAAGCCACCATGCTCATCCCATTTCATCTTCCAAGGATGGTGAGAGCTCCCTGGAGGCTGCCATCTCTGCTGTTCCACGATGGCTCCTGCTTAGGGAGCTGTAGCAGCAACCCTCACCTTCTACCGGAAGCCAAGCACCTGGCCACCTCAGTTCATCTTATCACCAGCAGCCCTTCAATGGATGGTGCCAGAAAGCCATACAGACACTGCCTTTCCCCCTGCCCCTGCTATGCTTGGATTCCAACTTTCTGGTTGCTCCAGCATTTTATAGCCACAAGCCATTCCCATGCAAGACGGTGTCTCTTACTGAGCAGTTACTGTGAATGACCCCTTGCACTTCAGACTCGCACCTCCTGAGCTACAGTTGCAGTAAGAGATGCCAGCATCATGCATCTGCCATTGTAACATCTTGGAGATGACCTGCTTTTTCAGTCCGTTTTCCTCATCAGCAGCGAGCTCCCAATTTGAGTCCTTTCCTTGTTTGTTTCAAATACGCCCCTGGGTCAGTGTGCAGCAATGGTGTTTTGGGGGATTGAATAACTTCACCCCCTGGGGACAGCAGGCTCAGATTCCCCCACCAGTGGTTTGGGCATTAAATGAATTTGTGCCTCAGATGGAAAAAGGCCAGCTCCAGGAGAATGGTAAAGAGGGGAGAGTGCAAGCCTTCAGGCTCTCCCCTCTGAATCGCATCCGGGTCATTCAGTGTTGCACTTTGCATGGCACTTGGCAAAATAAAGCTTTAGCCCAGCTGTAAATTATGGGTTACACAGGGGACCTGGGACTTGTCTCTCTTGCCTTCTCTTTTTTTTATGGGGCTTTCTCCCTTGGCAAAAAGAGCTTGCTTGAGCACTGCCAGTGTGTTTTTGTGTCCTGTAAATGTCTTCGCTAGCACAGTGCAGTTCTGCTTAGCCAGCGGGATTGGGAAGTGTGGGTCATTATGTTGTAAGGGTTGGGAATGAGCGTCATACCTGGGCTGCTAAGTGTTTCTGATGATTTTGTAAGGCTCTGACTGAAGCGGCACAGCAGCGGATGGAGTTTCCTCTTCACCAGAAGCTGCAAATCTGATTCTCTTCACACTAGTTCTCTGTATTCGGAGGGGTCAGCAGCCTGGTTTGGTGGCTGGCCCCCTGTCTGTCTGTAGGCAGGGTATCATCTGGGGACGGAAGCAGCAGTGCAAAGTAACCCGTCTTCTGCTGTGGTTGTGAAAGCAGCCCAGGTTGTGCTGAGTCTCTGAGTCCACAGCTGAAAGAGAAGAGGGCAAGTGCTGCCTGTCAGGGAGGGCTGGAGGAGATGGGGATGGATGACTGTTGGACAGGAGGGCTGTCTCCGAGCCGCAAGGATTTCCTCACTTGAAGCAGATGGACACTTTGCATCTTACTTTGCTTCTCTTCCAGCTGCTCTCTGGCCCTCAGTCTCCGAGGCACTGGTGCTTTGGATGGTTTTACACCTTAAACAGTTGAAGCACTTATCTTTGCCAGGGTTTTTAGCTGTGAACCTTCAAGTGAGCAGTTTCTCCCTCCTTTGCCTCAGTCGGAAGCCGAGGAAGAGCCCGTGTGTGCAGCCTTCACATTCACAGATTGCCGTAGTCTGCACAGTGAGATGCTCTGAGTCTCCTCCTAAGCTGTCCATGGTGCTAAACCACACATGCGACTCCTAAAAAGTTTGCCTTTAAGCGACCTGAAAGGTTGGGCTGCAGTCTAAACCGTCTAGAATAAAGCCTTAAAGCTGAAAATCTGGGGTCATGATCTGGCATTTAATTGTGCTCAGAGGCCCCACCATAAGTGCTACAACCTGGATTTACAGTCTTACCTCCACGCCTCCCTGCGCTTGTGAGCTCACATGGATTCCAAAGGCCTGGATGTGCTTAAGTGAAGTTTTGCCATTGACTTCCGAGAGAGAGAGAGAGCAAGTTTCTCCCTTGTGTTCTCTTAAGCTCCCAGCTGTGGGACCCGATAGTCCCAGGGAAGCACACTGGGCTCTTGGAAAATGCTCCTTTCAGGAGGTTAAGCTTATTTATGAGGGTGTTTGTTGTACCAAATATGCTTTGGACAGACAGAGCTGGGATATGTTAGAACATGGGGATGCCAGGTATCCTTCCTGCTCCTGACTGGAGTTGTGAAGGAAACAGAAGTTTCAGGTGGCTGGCTGGTCTGAAACATTGTGGGTGAGGAGGAAATCATTTTGGATCATAACATCATAGAAGACTAGGTCTGAAAGTGATGGTAGGGGGTCATCCAGTTCTGTGCTCTGACCAAGGCAAGAACATCCCTTTCTAAATCATCCCAGATTCATGTGCGGCCAGCAAACATTTAAAGCTTCTGAAAAAGAAATGCCAAAATCACTCTGCGCGTGAGCCTGTATGGTTTGCTGTATCAGAAGCTATAAAACCATGCCAATGATAGTCATGTTACTGATCTTGTTATTGGAAGGTGCTCAGATGAGAGGGTGATGGGCCACAATATAAGAACCTGAACAGAGCCATTACACCGCACTAAGAGCATTAGTATAGTGGTCAGTCATCTTCAAGACCACGTGGTAAGCCTCAGGCTAGGAGACAGCAGCTACTCTGTTTTAAATAAGAATAACTTTGCTAAATTTAGTCTTGAAAAGCAGATTGTGCATTACCAGCAGGCAGGTTGCTTATGACTGCCTTCGTCTGAATCAGACCCACCCAGATTTTTGTTTTTCCAAACGGGTGAGACAAATGTCTGAATATCTGCATCTCTGTTGAAACTATGACTGGCTCCTTGGCCACGGGAAGACGGGGAGTGCTTCAGAAGACAGCACATGGCTTTGTAGGCTTAGGATGAGGTGGTTAAAAACCCACGTGCCTCTCCAGTCCTGAAACACACACTGTTGTTTCTGGGGCACACAGCGTCTTACACTGGATGGCTTTCTAGCCTAGCATTTGAATTAAGGAAACAAAGTGGGATGAACTGGATGTCTTTCACCACTCCAACTTTAAGAAAACCATAAAGCCCTGCTTTTCTGGTCTGTCTGTACTGAAAACAAATGAGAGTCTAGCAAGTGATGCAGGCTGTTTAAAATGGTGTGATCATGATTAATTGATGAAGCCATTCTCCCAAGTTGCTTCATTCAGCTGCTTTCATTGGCAGGTCTGAAGCTCAGTTACCCTGAGAGTTACTCCTGTATAACAGACCTCCTTGGCACGCAGTTCTGTGCATGAACAAATGGCTCTGCCTACTTGTTCTTGCTAACCGAGGTCATTACTCAAAGTTACCATCTCCCCTCCTGGGCAGGATGAGATGTGAAGGCTGTGAGAGCCCCCCTCCAGGAAGTGAAACTTGGGGAAGAGCTGCCTCAGGTGGGGTGTTACCAATTCTGCCTTTGCCTTGTTATCCCACAGTCCTTGGATTGCTGCGTTAGAAGAATAAATGCCTGTTCTCTTTCAAGAAGGACTTTGTCTCGCTCATTTTGCATCCTAGCTCTTCTGGAACTAGCCTGACCTGGAATCCAAGCTGCTTTGGACGACAGACACCTAACTGCAACCCCTGGGCCTTTCATGGCAAATTAGAGCTCATTATGACCAATAGTTAGTTCTGAGTTGCTAAATCTAGTCTGTCCTCCCTCTTTGTTACGAGACCTTCTGTCCGCTCCAGACAGCGCACTAGAAGGTCTGACTGGCAGTGTTGGGTGGTGGTGACAGTAGAGCATCTGTCCCTGACGCTGGAGGAGGATGGCCTGGGAAATGCATTGGTTTCATGCCACCAAGAACTCAGTAGGATAGCTTAGATGGCTGCCTTGTGCCCAGGGTACAAAGCAGTGCTTTGCTCAGGAGCCCCACTTGTGCATGGGCAGCCTGTGGACACACTGTACTGTCATAGCCATCGCTCTCCATGCTCCTTGGAGCCAGCCCAGTGATATTTGAGAGGGTTTGAATTCCCCAGTAGGTCATCTAAGGATAGGCAAAATCTGAGGCTGCCTCCAAGGACCCTCTGGTTCCCGCAAAGAGGTGGCAGGAGCAAGGCAGGATGTACTCTCAAGCACGACTGCCTTGATTTTCTGTCTCCAGCAAATAGTGTGTGTAAAGTGCAAAAGCTAATAGTGCTGCTCCCTCCAGACACGCACTCTGCCCTTTCTGCTTGCTAGCTGCGTGGAGCCCAGAAAGCTGCGCACACAGCTCTTCCCCTTCAGTTGCCTTGCATTAGTGCGACTGCCCTGGCTGTACTGTGTTGAGCACAGTGTCTCCTGCCCCCTCCCTCCACCAGTTCAGAGGTTCCCTTGCCCAAGGAGGTGTCCCTTCCTCCCCACTGTGCAATCCCGATTCTCCAGCGTGTGTGTGGGGCAGGGGGGGCAAGGATCTCAGTTTGGGGTCTCCAAGCAAGCAGGAATTTTTGACCCAGGGCTTGGTTACCCACCACTGGCAGCATGTTCTGTCTAGGGAAAGGAGGAAGGTGAGGCAGCTGTCTTGACTTCTTCACCACCCTTCCTCTGGCTGCTCTTAGAGCTGCATCCAGCCCTTCCCAGCAAAAAAGGTACTTCTCCCTGCCTTCTTCAATGAGACACTCCTTTCCAGGCAGTTGTTGAATGCTGGTGATAGTGACTCATCCTGCACTGGTCCTGGCTGCGTTTCCCTAGTAGATGAAGTGACTTGTGGCAGGAGTGCTGTGAGGCTTCCTGTTTGTAAAATGCTTGGAGAAGCTGCAGGAGCTCAAGCATTATTCAGGGGGATAGCAAGAAATCGGGTATCTTTATGCAATGGCCATACTTACAGTGAAAGCTCTGACTCAAACATGAAAGCAGGTCTGGAATTTGGGGGTAGGGGAGCGGTGCTGGGCTGGGTAAGATATCCAACCCTTGTTTTCCAAGAGGAGGGAGAAAAGCCTTGCTGTCAGCAAGTCACCCCCAGGCTGGTAGCTTGCCTTTTGGCAGCTTTTTTGCAAGTGCCAGTACAGGACTTCGATTGCAGTTTAATTATGGGAAGGGATTATGCCGTAGCCCAGATCCTTTCCCTGTAAATAGCAGAAGGATTCTTTCTGGTAAGTGCTTTCTACAAAGTGGCCTAATCACACAGTGATCTGGGGATTGTTCAGGAGGCTTTCGTGTATATTGTTAAAATCCCACTTTGATAGAGAGCTGAACTGCACTTAACCCAAGACATGTGCTTTTATTAGATAGTAAATCATGGGACTCGCCTTTTGCACCCTACCAACCTATTCCATGCTCTGATTTTCTCCCTAGGCAACAGTAAACGCCCGCCCCCAGCGCATCCTTGACACCTCCTCGCTCACCCAGTCTGCCCCCGCCAGCCCTACCAACAAGGGCATGCACATCCACCAAGTGGGGTAAGTTGCCTCGTCCGTGTTAATAATGTGCAGGTTACAGGGTGAATGGATTTCTGCACCCACTCCCCACCAGTAGTCCCTCCAGGGGAGGGAGCCGGGGGTGGTGAAGCAGATGTGCTGGATTCTCCTTTGCCATTCTTATCTGGGCAAGGGGCAAGTGGAAGAAGCAGGGCACATACCGACGCTGCTATCCTTGTGTAATTGGTTGATCTGAGGTCGGCAGCATTTACAGTCTTCTTGGGTCTGATCTGCCTTCCCTCTCCTTACAGATGGGGAGGCCTCAGCGTTGCCTGATCAGCACCAGGCTGCCTCCAAATCAGTTAGTGAAAGAGCCATGTGGCCATGGCCAGGATTTGGAAAGTCCCAAACCCCGTCCTCCCTCCCCATGGAAATAGCAGTTGCAGCTCCTGACTTGACCCCCTTACAAACAAGACAAGCTGGGAGATGCCTGGCTCCAGAATGATTCTGTAACCATGTGTTGCTCACTGGCCATGTCGTAAGGTGAATGTCAGTGTAACAAGGCTGTTTACCTCTTTAAGGGCCTGGGAGAATCAGGAGCAGGCAGCTTTGTTAGGAGCAAGTGAGGGGGACTCGGTGATAGGAGTAAGGCCAGCTCATAGATTTAAGAGAGCATCATTCAGGTCAGAAAGTGATAGCGAGTCTCCTCTCCTGCACCTCTGTCTTGTTCACCTGTTTCCTTTCCTGCTGCTTAGAGGGTCCCCTCCCACTGCCAGCACGAGCAGCTCCAGCCTGACGAATGATGTGACCAAGCAGCCAGTCAGCCGGGACATCGCATCTGTGAGATCCGCGAATGTGGGCAACATTGGCGTCCAGTATACACCCCACTCTCACCAGTTCCCCAGGACCAGGAAAATGTTTGACAAAGGACCGGACCAGGTAAGACAGACTCCCTCCTCACCATCACGCAGGCCTCTTGTTTGCTCTTCGACTCCCCAGAGCCCCTTTGTTTGCTTTTTGCTGCTGCTGGTGGCTTCACTGTAGCTTCTAATCAGTGAAATAAAAATGAATTACTTTCCCTCTCTGCAGTATAAATGTCACTTTGCGGCTCTTGATGTGACATTACTCGGTGCTGCCACAGCCAAGAGGTGTTTAATCGGAATAGGCTGTTTATTCTTCTGTAAACATTCAATCATTTTACGTAAGTCAGTGCTGCTGCCTCACCTTAATGAACAAAGTTGCGTGGCAGTTCTCAGAGGGCAGGAGTCAATGCCTCCAGTTGCAGGGAACATAGAAACCTTACCATCATGTCAGAGCAGCTGGGCATGGCAGGAGCAGCCCCAATCACGCAGCTTTAGGACAGGATGCACTCAGGTCTTCAGCAACAGAACATGGGTGTGTTTTGCAAGGTGTCCCCATTAGTTCCACTGAAGTAGAAAGAATGTCAGTGGGTACCGAGGGGCTGCAGTGGGGAAATAGGCAAGCCAGGCATACCTGGGGTGTGGCGCACTTGGTGCCAAAGGGCTTTAACAATATCTGGCCCTTATCAAAGGCAAGTCGGTATCATTATTGCCGCTTGTGTGGAAACCAAGGCACAAAAGGGGTGAAGTAACAGAGAAGGGAATAGACCCACATCTCCAGACCCTTTCAAAAGCCCAAGCTGTCTGCAGCAGGAGAGAACACTGTTTTAGTGTACGAGCTGAGGAGACTGAGGGGGGATCTTGTGGCTGCCTACAACCTTATCAGGGGCCACCAGCAGGGACTCGGGGAAAGTCTGTTCACCAGGGCCCCCCTTGGAGTCACCAGGAACAATGGCCACAAGCTGAGGGAGGATAGGTTTAGGTTAGATATTAG